TCTTCTTCTTCTTCTTCTTCTTCTTCTTCTTCTTCTTCTTCTTCTTCTTCTTCTTCTTCTTCTTCTTCTTCATCTCCTCCTCCTTCATCTTCTTCCTCTTTCTTTCTTTTTACTTTCTTTCTTTTAGTTCTAATTGCTCAATAATATATTTAGTAAGTTACCATGTTTCTGTGAAAACACTGGGGACAGACAAAGAGTTACAAGAGCCCTGACAAAATCATCTTAGGGTGACATTTCTGAGAGCTATTTTGAACGCACTTATCAGTAGAAACAGGACGAGTCCTACTTGGTTTACACACAGTTGTATCATCTCAGGTAAGAACTCAGTGTGGTGAGCAAGGGTAGCAGTAATAAACGTGATGAGAACTCAGCGAAGAGTAAGATTGACAACTGACTCCTGGATGGGTAAAAATACATGGTAAAATGAATTGATATCCTTGTGACACAAACCAAAGCAACAGAATCAACAGGTCCACAGAAGAAAGCAAATTCCAGGGAATAGCTGAGAGAGGGGGCAAGAGGAAACGAAAGTACGAAAGGATATGAGGTGTGGTTTATGCAATCATCCCTGACAGCAATGGTGGGCACATGCCCTGAGACCAACAGAAATGTGGCTTAGGGTAAGATTAAACCTGAGTGTAAAGAATGGGGAAGAAATGCAGCTTATTCTATTTCATTTAATTTCACTTCTGTACAAAAGCAGTTGATAACAATTTGACCAAGGGTACAATAGGCACATTAGCCCCCAAAAGGTCTGGGGTAGACTATTCTAGCATTTGAACAGGTGAAACATAACAAAACTAAAACTTATGCTTACTGAGTACCTACCCTGTGACTGGCGTATTTAATCTTTGCCAAAATTAAATGAATAAAGATGGCGCCATCTCATTCTAAAGATGAGAAAATTGATGCTTAAAATAGTTGAATGGTATAACTACCCCTCCATTTTCATATCAAAGGGTCAAAGAGAATCTTAGACCCTCATGTTCCATTGTACTGTATGGAGCATCAGGTTATATCTGTTTTCCGGTGATGAGACACAGGACCGCAAAGGCTACCAAGACACAGCTCAAACAGTATGTATAAGAAACAGAAGAGAATCCATTTTCGTGAGATTTTTCCAGCCTTTTAGGCAATACTTGTGGGTTTCTCAGGCTCAGCTATTAGTTGTTAATGTCTCCGAGTCTGCCCTTCAAGGGGCAGACTAAGGAAAACAAGCCAACTTACCTTTAATCGTGGGAGTATCAAAGAAGTATGTATTATTTTAGATAACTCCCCAAGTGTCCGTTTGAGTGACTAATTTTCTTTAAGATAATCATCACAAATGCTTACCTCTTCCAAGCTTTTATGCTTTTAAGTCTAAACAGAATGACTTTTTTTCTTGCCATGTATCAACTGCTCCCAAATTTCTTTACTTCTACAAGCAGCTGTGAATGCCATGGGAAAGCACAAAATCCTTTCGTTATAGATAGACGCTATGAGTACTGAATGTTCAAAACCACAACCAATGAATCCAGGTTTGGAAGACATTCGGGAAGGGCAGGATTTTATACATGAAGAATGGATTCTTTGTATGATGCAGAAGTTGTTCTAATTGCATGCTTTTGCCCGTGTTCAAAGTTCTGATTGTGCAAGACTAAGGCCCTCATGGAAGTATATAAGCGGTAATAGTCCCCAATGGGCAAATTTAAAGGATTATTTGTTCCTTTGTGTTTTTTTTTCTTATGGAGACAGATAAAACTTGCATCATTGCATGTTTTAACATGCCAAGTTCTAGAATATAAATATCTTCTCCTGTGATCTCGTTCTCTTTCTCTCTCTCTCTCACACACACACAAACTCTATATAAATATGTGTGCACACATGTATGTGTGTGCACATATTATAGTACTGATTGTGCATACTAGGCCAGCACTTTAGCACTTAGCTACATGCCCAGCCCTGCTTTTATCTTTGATTGACTCCATGTACTAAGGATTTTCAGTATTTTATGAAAGATATTAAGCACTTGTGTTTGACTTCCTTCATTTTTATCTTTTGTCAACTTAAGCCTATAAATCTGGACAGAATACTAGAATTTAACCTTCACATTAGAAAATACAGTGATAAACAAGCGGTAATTAAGCATACTTATATCTTAGGTATCAAGAGTTCCAATTTGGAAGGAAAGTTTGATTTTTGACACATCCCCCCTCATTTCTATTTGATTTAAAGCAGACTCATTATGTGTGTGGAAGTTTTGAATTCAAACAATATAGATGATGCAATATTAAGAAAACAAGCCTCTTGTTTGGAATCTTAAAACTTAAGTTACCATATAAATCCTATTACTGATTCCTATGTGACCTTGAAAAAAAAACTTGACCCTTCTCCTCTTAATATTTCCTAATCCATAAATGGATATAATTGGTCTAGGGTATCCCAAAAATCATAAGACATCCTAAAATCATACAGATATAATACAGATATTATAAATATGCGATATATTTAATGGGAAGAAGATAAATACATAATATATCAGGAATCAATTCATTGCTTTAGAAAATATTGTGTACCTCATGCTGGATTGCTCCCCTCTAGCATACATTATCTTCACCCCAATCTAAGTTATGTCTCTGTCTAAGCCTTCAATCATTCCAACTATACAACATTAGCTTACAAGCTTTAGTATAAAACTCACGGAGTATGGCTCTGTGTGCTACAGTAAAAAGTGGCAGACATGGAACATTTTGAATTTCATAAAAAGTCACAGGAGAAAGAAACACGAGGAGAAGAAAAATGACCTTAAAATTCGGCAAAGATGCAAGTATTTCTGCAGAAATAACATACTTTCATGGCAGTCTGTCTCTTTTTCTCCTTTCCAAACGAACGAAAAAGATAGTTCAAGTTACTGATTAACTTCAACACACTGATCTTTGCTTCTGTCTAAGGTCCATAGAAACTGGCTAGATGTCTTTTATCAAACAGAAAACTGTTTTTTAAAATGCCTTTAAAGGCCAGATTCTCTATTATCCTGAGGTATCAGGCTAAATCTCATTTGCTTGCAGCATGTATAGTTTATTTTTTTCAGAGACTAGGGAACTCTAAAGGAATATTTTTTTCTATCTGCATGGCTATGTGTTCATTATCAGGATGAAATATTAATGTCCATGACTTATCCCCTTTCTCCTAATAGTGTTCATTCTTAATGAGAAAGTAAAAGCAATGAGAAGTTGGTTCTGTAAATAGTGATTTCCACCATTGTTGGTGTTGGCTTTGAAGGGAAAAAACTGTGGGATGGACATCTTCACAACAGTCACCTTGACTATATATAGAAAACAGCTTTAGTAAGATAATTGAAATTGATACAGCAAATGACATTGTGTTAACATATGAGATACTAGATTGTTAAGGAGAAAAATATATAGGGAGGTATTAAGAATGTATCATTATTATGCAACAACACTAGAAAAAGCAAGACGCTTTAATTTAGAGAGAAAAAAGCATAAGTCAAGGCAGTCATTTCTCAGAACATTGATGTAATATAAACTGCAAGCACGCTGACTTAGGGCATTATGCAGCGATGGAAAGGGAACACTGATCAGACTGCTGGTACCTGAGCATTCTGGGTCATGTCGCTGTTTGCGCTTTCACTGACATTTATTGCGGTTTGTTTGTTAATGATTCCCTGAACACCAAGACTAATCTATCAACCCAGCACAGATCATATTTTGTGCAGCCCGCTGGACACATTCACAAGGCTGTTCCACACACCTGTTGAATAAATGCATCCACCATTAAATCTTCCTTCTTCTTTCTGATAAACTATTCTCTCACCTGCCTGCCGTTTTCCACACTTTGCCTTCCAAGTCAAAAATGTTCCAAATTACAATGATTACCTCTTTATCTGGAAACACTATACCTGATAATTAGCATGTCCTGGTGATGATCACTCTTGCTCAAGAGTTCTTCTTGAGACTCTTCTTCCAATTCACAAGCTTCTCTAATTCCTTGTCTCCATCGACTGTCAACTAAATGGCTGCACAGGTCCTCTGATTCTACTGCATCCTGTACAAGAAGCATCCGCCACACAGATTACAAAGTTGACTTCCTTTAAAAACAAAATAGAAATATATTTCTATTACTCATCAGCTTACATGTCCAGATATCTACATATTGCACAGGAGAAAAAACAAATTCACAGATATAGCAAGAAAGGACATGTGACTGGACTGTATTAGCCGTTCATCATACCCTCAGCTCAAGCTGCATTAAGCTTTTGATCATATTCAACATACATGACCTTGAGCAACATCTGTCTATGACCATTGTCCATACTATTGCTCTGTCTTGAAATTTCCTTTCCTTTACTGCTACCAGAATCCAACAAGGTCATTGTGAGCACAAATGCATAGCAGCTGTGGATGCCTAAACAAGACCTGCACAGGACTGGACTCTGCAACACTGTTTTAGAGATGGTGAAGTGCCCGTGAGGCTCCACTCCCTCCTGAGAAGCTATTCCAAGTTAATGGTTACCAAACGAGGGTGGGTGTTGGATGTCCTTCAGTGTTGTGGACATTGGTCAGCTGTGTGGACTCCGTCATATGATCCCTTCTCCAAGGTGCCATTCGAAACTTGAGTCAAAATCAGTGACTCAAAAAGAGTTTTTCTGAAGTATGATAGAAAGGGTATAGTTCAGAAGAAGATGAGGTTGGGGAAGACATGAGCATAAAGGGTGGAAATAGGAGAAGAGGTTCACAATGCTTTCTGAATGCATGTGGAATATTTTTAAAATAGAAATTTCCCTTTCTCTAAATTGAAATACCTCTTCATCCTTCTAGATATAAAAAAATCAATTTTCCTTAGCTTTCGATGACAGAAGAGCTTCCCCCCAATTTTGATAACATATATTGCTCCTCCCTTTCACCCACAGCACCCTAATTTTTTGCAGCTTCACCTGTTTATGCATCAGAGGCCTTTTAATAGACAACAAAACTCTCAAGGGTAGGGGACTGATTCCATTGACCTTTCTATTTCCTGTGTCTCTAATTAGCCTAGTAAATGGCATGTGTTCAATAAGTGAATGACTGATTATCACTTCTGGATACTGTACAAATAAGTAATTACCCTTTAGAAAAAATCATAATACATGCCAGGGCGATGCACAGTACTTTATGAAGAAGAAGTAAGAATTCAGAATCATCTGGAAGGATTTGCTTCGAAAGAAAATATAACAATACCCTTGTAACCAACACAGCTTTGACAGGAGAAAAATAAAGAAGAAAGATATCAACTAACGTATTTATGGTAGTGTGAAATCTAAAATCTAGTATGGAAGTGAAATTAGGGACACTCATTCATTCGAAGTTTGGCTTTCTCCCTGGTAGAGGTGGTAACTGAAACTTTGGAATAGGGTGAGGGTACCAAGGGATCTGGTGTCAAGAGAGAAGACTACATACATAGTCCATATTGTCCTCAAATTCTTTCTGAGGGTTGCACAGCTAAAACATTCACTGCCATACATGTTAACCTCTTAATTCTGACATGTTTCATCACTGATAGTCTCTGACTCATGCACCATCAAGAAGAAAGTCATTTGATCCCAGGGATGCTTTTTAGTTGGTTGAAATTCTCAGTTTTCCTGAGTATTGTGCTCAAATGAAAGACCAAGTTGAAGAAAACATCAATATTCAGTTCTGTCTTTCCTGTTTTATGCCAATTTCTTCCTTTTCTCCTGCCTTTCAGCAAGTGAAATTGTGATTCCACTTATCTGACAATTCTTTTGGGAAAATTTGTTTTCCTGATAAATTAAACTCACATCTTGGCATGTTTGATAAAATTATAGCAATATGCCTCCGAAATTCAACTTATTCATCATAATATTTTTTTCCTTGTAGCAGTTAATAAGAGACAGTGGTAAAATGATTGGGCGGGGAAGGGAGGAAGAAACTCACAACTCGAAACAAGAAAGCACTTCTGGGTTGTACATTGCATTCCCAATTACTTAATACTAATTTAAAGCTATCAATTCCCATCAGTCTCACACTGCAAAGTGTCATGGATCTTGTGCATAATAAAGCAAAAGAAAAAGCTTGAAGTGGGAGTAGGAGAGCAGACATTTCCACTTTTAAAATCTCTATTATTTTGCATCAATTGTGCCATATGTTAATCTCAGTGGTTGAAAGACTTAAAGAAAATTAAGAGATACTGGATTTTATAAAAACCCTGGGACTGGATATGAGAAACGCTATAATGAGAGACTTGAGAGTCTAGAAAAGAGTGCTTTCTCTTATCCCAGTGGTAGTCTGGGGCCTGCTATTGATTATTGTTTCAGTGAACACACGAATAAGGAAATACTCAAAGCTGTTGTGAGACCCCGGAACCCATTTAGAAATGTTGATAACTCTGAGACGTCATTAGTTCATATATAATCTGAATTATTGGGAGTCAAGCTAGGAGTAAAATATTGGTGGAACTCACCTCATTTATATATAGGAATTTTTATCTTCAGTGAAAGGCAAAACCAGTGAAAACTTTGCCTTTTGTCAGAAAGGCACAGGAAAAAAAAATGAGAGAGAAGGGGTGGCTGGCCTTTCAGCTCTTCCTTCCATGAAGGCATCCTCTAACAACCAAGTACCTGAAGATCTACTGAGCTAAATCTCCCTTAAGTAATCATGAGCACAATGTATGAAAAAATCCACTGAGGGACAAGATGTTGTGGGTTTCATGTTCCCTCCCGTACAGATGGCAAAACACAAGAACAATAAAGTACTTGAAATATGTGAGTAAGCGCAATATAGAATTAGTGACTGTCATCTCCCTCTGACTCTGGAGGCCATGCATGCATAGCTCAAGCCCCCATGACAGAATCAGCAGCATATAGACAAAACCCCACTCTTAATGACAAACAGAAAATTGACCTAGATTGTTCCATATTGGAAAGTACGGACATTGATGCAATCTGACTTATACGTGTCAACACACAAATAGGAGACAACTGTTCCAGTCATTCTCTGAGGCTGAAACAGGAAGCTCATGAAGTCTAGGCCAGCCTAGGAGTCATTGTGAAAGCTTGTCTCAAGAAATAATTAGATTGGTATTTTCATAAATTGTGATAGAATCTCTACCTACAAATGTTTAAATATCATTTGCAAAATACTTAGTTTTATCATCCTTGAACAAAGTCATGTGTTGTGATTGGAAGGGTTCCACTGTGTACTCTTTAAACCATAACTGGAAAGGGACTAAGCTATTTAAAACACTATTTCTCACTCATAACTCACCCTTCTTCCCATTTTGCCATCTAGCACACCATAGCCAGATGAACGAACCTCTTTTGAAATGTGTACAAGTCTGCAAAAACAACATAGGTGTACACAGAACGGAGTGGGGCTTAGATGCTTCTGATCTTCCTTACTTGGTTTGTATGATTGCCATTTGTAAAAATAATCTCAATCGTTTGATTTCACCAATAAAGACTTGGGAGCCAGATGCTGGGGTCAAAGAATGCTGGCTTAGAGAGTCAGAGAAAGCACCCAGCTGACCTTCCTCCTCAATCAACTTCCCAGAAACCTCCACTCTCTTACAGTTTCAAATAAGACTCTCAAACTGAATGTCCCTCTCATGGACTTCCTGTGACTCTGTCTATCCATCCTCCTCCCTCCCTCTTAATTTCTATGGCTTTGTCTTGTTCATTCCTGTCAATGGGTTGCTTGCTGTGCCTCTTAAGCTTTGGTTGATTTATTTAGTACTCTTTACAGTATTCAAGCAGAAAGCACTTGGCTCAAAGGTGTGGGCTAGGGGTGAGCCACACCATAACGAGAAACAGGTTTGACTACAAATTATGCAATCTTGGGGTTCACATTGCAACATACGATTCATATGATTAATATCATGAAACATACAAGTCAAAGTATTTTTCTTCTTTGTTAAAAAAACCAGAGTTAGCAGCTTCTTTTCTAATTCTTAAAGAACAATGAAGAAATTTCTAAAAAATAGAAATACTTATTTTTGTTCAATTGTTCTTAATTCATTCAACTTTTTTTGTAATATTTGCTCGGCACTGTGTTAGACTCCAGGGCAATTTAAGGAATAAAGTCTGCATGATCAGTACAGCTGATGGCCCCCAGGGAATGAAGTTAGTTTTCTTTAGGGGAATGGTCCCTGGTAGAGAGACCACACTTCTCTGAAGGGCCCTGTGCCCATGAGTATGTGCACTTAGTGAATTACCAAAAAACTAAATAAACTTTCAAAGAGGATGTGGGGAAGTGGGAGGAGTCAGGTAGATCGGTGCTGGGGTGAATATATAAAGTACATTTATGAAATTCCCCAAAAATTGATCAAAATATATTATTCAAAAACACAGTATTGGCATAACAGTGTAAGTCCTGATGGTCAAATCAATGAAATGACTTCAGAAACATATTTACACACTTTGACAAAACAGAGAAACTCAAGCATTTACTCAGTTTCTGCCTATGAAATTTACCAAAATATCTGAAAAATCAAAAACATGAATTATTGTTTATTTTAAAATATTTTAATTTTGCATACTAGCTCAAGATCCCCCTACCTCCCCTTCTCTTGTCCCTCAGACTTCCCCTCATCCCCCCACCCAATCTTCCCCTCAGATGCAGTAAGGTCTCCTCTGTGGAGTCAGCAAAGTCTGGTATACTAAGTTGAGACAGGACCAAGTCCCTCTCCCCTGTATCAAGGCTGAGCAAGGCATCCTACTATAGGAAATGGGCTCTGAAAAAGTCAGTTCATGCACCCAAGATAAGCTCTGGTTCCATTTCCAGGACACCCCACCACCCAACAGATCAAGCCATATAACTATCACTCACATTCAGAGGGCTTAAGAAGAAAAAAATAAGTAAGTTTAGTTAGAGTTGTTGCAGCAAAGTGCTCCAAATAATAATTTTAAAAGAGTAAGCTGCAGTTTGAAAGCCTCAGTCTAGGCTTAGTTGCATGATTTTGAGGGTCTATGGTGAGGAAGTTATCATGGCAGAAGCTTGCAGTAGAGTGTGCTGTTGACCTTTTGGCAGCCTGGAAGGAAGGAAGTGAAGAAGTGGGGGGTCTGGACTCCCAATACTCCCTTAATGTCAGGCTGCAGTACCTACCTTCTTCCTAGCAGGGTCCACTTCTCCAAATGTTCTCTGCCTCCTAAAAGCCCCACACTGAGAGCAATTCTTTAATACATGGGCCTCTGAGAAACATTTCAAGGCCAACCCATAGAACACAGGAATTTGTTCTAACGCCAAAGAAAAGTCCAAATGCCAATTAGCTGCCCTTCAAATCTTGGCTAATGTATAAATTTCTCTAAAGTAAAATTAGATTGCTAATTATGCTAAACCAATTATTAAGTTGGAATGGCAAGGACTGTGATCATGGTTGGGAAGGAAAGTATGAAGGTCGACTCGCACATAGGCAGCAAGAGAATAACTGAAACCTAGGATACGTATTTGTCAGCGATCTCTTCTCAACTGACTCGGTGTTT